TTCGCCGTGTCCTAGCCGAGTTATTGCTGTTTGATCCGCTGAAGAATAAACGCTGTTGGAACCAAGTTTAGTTCTGTTTTATCTACTGCTGTACCAGTTAGTGGTCAGATCCCGGTCCTACGGAGAAGTGAGGGCTCTTCCCCGCAAGCGAGTTACCATTTGAGTCTAGTTTTCCCCAGTATTATCGTGAGTCAAGCACCGAGTTCCCGTTGAGCCTTAAATTCGTTTCAAGTGGAAAAACCTTCCGTCACAATCGTTAAACCACAGGATCTTTGGACGATTTATCATAATCCTTGTTTTAAGCGGGGCATGCTTGTCCAAAATGTCCGTTAAGGGTAGTGTTAAAGCAGTCGGAGAGTGCATCAATGTTGTCCCAGTGTACGCTTGCACAAAACATAGAAGAGGCAATATCAGCTAAGAATTCGGCAATATCAATATTTTTGAGTTTACGAAAAGTCAGTTCTTTGCATGATAAAGTTGGTCGCGGGAAGCCAATAGGACACTGAGATCATCGGAGATGGGAAAAGTAGCTTTAGGAGAAGTAAGAACAACATCATCCGACGAACGAGTAATAATTAGATCCAAGGTATGACCCGATAAATGGGTCGGGCCGGAAACTTGTTGCGAAAGACTAAACGTGTCCAGTAAATCCATAAATTTCTTGGCGTAATTGTCACGGAGGTCATCTAAATGAAGGTTGAAGTCTCCAGAGATAACAAGAACCTTGGGGCACATAACAACATTCTCTAAAAACTGAGAGAATTCATCAAAGAAAACAGAGGCAGAAACAGGATGTAACGAAGAATATGGAGGTCGATACACTATTATATGTCTCATTGAGCAATCGTGCACTTTAACAAGCCACTCAGAATATTCGAAAGACTTGTTTTCCTTCCCATCCACTAATGAAACGTTGACAGAGTCTCGAAACGGAATACCAGTTCCACCATCACGGTTTTGCGATTGTCGAGAAAAATTCTTGAAGAAATAACCGGCCACAGATAACCAAGCAATACTGACGGAATCAGCGTCATTTCACCAGGTCTCGGTAACGGTGCAGAGGCCAATGCCATTTTCTACGACGTGGTCAATAATGCTCTCGATCTTGTCTCTAACAGATCTAGAATTGAAGACCGCAAAGTTTAGGAAAGTTGAACGTGGATTGACGAACAAATTTGGGTGAAAATACATATTTTTTCAATTTCCTTCAACAATGAAGTAAATCTTGTGGCTAAAATTATGCAAAGTGGTTATTTATATGTCATTTTTCATGGAAAGGAAAAAAAATAACATTTCTCCCGGTTTTAACCTGATTTCTAATTCTTTGTAAAATCCAAGACGGCGGCCAAGATGGCGGCAATTGTTGTTGACGTCACAGGCCTCCAGCAGCACCACCACCCCTAAAATATACCTCATCTTGTTAAGAATACCAAAGGAATTCCACTAAACGTAAAATCGTTTAAAAAAACTGCAACATATCAAAAACTCCGGGGAGGGGTTCCATACACCCCCCCCCCCCCCCCCCCCCCCTCCCCCCAACCGGGGGGGTGGGATTTTTTTTCCCCCCCGGGGAGAACATTAAAAATGGCGAAAAGTCGGCGAAGTGTCGGTGAACGAAAAGCTATATCGGCCGAGACACATCTGGAACGACTATCGACCGTGTCTCGACCGAGTGTCGACCCACTATCGACCGACTATCGACCGCTATATCGACCGAATGTCGATCGAGTATCGACCGAGTGTCGACCGAGTATCGACCGACTGTCGACCGAGTGTCGACCGACTATCGACCGAGTGTCGACCATTTTACTTGTACCATTTTACTTTTCTTTGTTTCAGTTGTTTGTGTTCACTAAGTAATAGTCATAAAAAAGCCAACAGTTTTCGTTAGCAAACAAAAGTAATTGCTCGTTCTCTTTTCAATTATATACATTTTATTTACGTCGATGTTGACTCTTGAAAGAATACTTAATTTCTTAATAATGGTTTATTTGACTTCAGTCTAGCTATTTTTCGTGATTTAACTACCAGACGACATCTATTCATAGTAACGCCTTTGATACAGATGTACTTCGTTCTAATTGCAACTTAGTTATATTTATTTGCGAAAGTATATTTCATTAAGTTGTTAGTTAAGGAGAGGTGATAACCGAATTTTGAATATGAAAGGTTTTGCTGTCTTGTAATTTTAAAATTAGATCGGTTTTTGTTTAAAGTGAAAACTTCCAATTAGTCTGCGCTTGTCCTGTTTAAACAGCCGATAGCTGGACTTGCAATTTTATTCATAATGTAGCACTTTGTACATAAACGCTGTTTTGCTGACCTGGCTTGGTCTTTGTCTCAGTACTTTTACTTTCTAAAATAGCAACAGTAACAAAAGATTTCAGGTTAAAAATAGAATTTGTATTTAGTTTTCATTTAACTCTAAGTGATTTCTGTTTTTATTCCTATTGTATTCTTTTGTCTTCGATGGTTGTAAAAATCGCATATAAGTAAATTGCTTTGAACTGATTTTTCGATTACATAGCCGATTACGTCGCCGATTATTTCGCCGTGTCCTAGCCGAGTTATTGCTGTTTGATCCGCTGAAGAATAAACGCTGTTGGAACCAAGTTTAGTTCTGTTTTATCTACTGCTGTACCAGTTAGTGGTCAGATCCCGGTCCTACGGAGAAGTGAGGGCTCTTCCCCGCAAGCGAGTTACCATTTGAGTCTAGTTTTCCCCAGTATTATCGTGAGTCAAGCACCGAGTTCCCGTTGAGCCTTAAATTCGTTTCAAGTGGAAAAACCTTCCGTCACAATCGTTAAACCACAGGATCTTTGGACGATTTATCATAATCCTTGTTTTAAGCGGGGCATGCTTGTCCAAAATGTCCGTTAAGGGTAGTGTTAAAGCAGTCGGAGAGTGCATCAATGTTGTCCCAGTGTACGCTTGCACAAAACATAGAAGAGGCAATATCAGCTAAGAATTCGGCAATATCAATATTTTTGAGTTTACGAAAAGTCAGTTCTTTGCATGATAAAGTTGGTCGCGGGAAGCCAATAGGACACTGAGATCATCGGAGATGGGAAAAGTAGCTTTAGGAGAAGTAAGAACAACATCATCCGACGAACGAGTAATAATTAGATCCAAGGTATGACCCGATAAATGGGTCGGGCCGGAAACTTGTTGCGAAAGACTAAACGTGTCCAGTAAATCCATAAATTTCTTGGCGTAATTGTCACGGAGGTCATCTAAATGAAGGTTGAAGTCTCCAGAGATAACAAGAACCTTGGGGCACATAACAACATTCTCTAAAAACTGAGAGAATTCATCAAAGAAAACAGAGGCAGAAACAGGATGTAACGAAGAATATGGAGGTCGATACACTATTATATGTCTCATTGAGCAATCGTGCACTTTAACAAGCCACTCAGAATATTCGAAAGACTTGTTTTCCTTCCCATCCACTAATGAAACGTTGACAGAGTCTCGAAACGGAATACCAGTTCCACCATCACGGTTTTGCGATTGTCGAGAAAAATTCTTGAAGAAATAACCGGCCACAGATAACCAAGCAATACTGACGGAATCAGCGTCATTTCACCAGGTCTCGGTAACGGTGCAGAGGCCAATGCCATTTTCTACGACGTGGTCAATAATGCTCTCGATCTTGTCTCTAACAGATCTAGAATTGAAGACCGCAAAGTTTAGGAAAGTTGAACGTGGATTGACGAACAAATTTGGGTGAAAATACATATTTTTTCAATTTCCTTCAACAATGAAGTAAATCTTGTGGCTAAAATTATGCAAAGTGGTTATTTATATGTCATTTTTCATGGAAAGGAAAAAAAATAACATTTCTCCCGGTTTTAACCTGATTTCTAATTCTTTGTANACCCCCCCCCCCCCCCCCATCCCCCTTGTACCAAAGTGGGGGTATGAATTTGCTTGTACGCCCGAGGGTTAACATTTCAACAACTGTAAACGTAATTTAAATGCTCACTGTACGATTATTCGAGGGGGGCGATTAATCGAGGAACTAAGAACGAGAAGTCCATGCCAAAGACTACTGCAAAGCTGATTTAAAACAACGTGTATTGTTTTTTATAACAATATTTCGGCTGGCCATACCAGCCTTTTTCAGGTTTACAGATATTACTCAACTTATGTAGGAATCACAATATTATATAGATGAAGAATGTCGCAATAAAAATTGTTTAAAAGGGAGAGGCGGAAATGACGTACAAAATAAAAACTGGAAAGAAACAAATACTACGGATATGGATTACAATAATTCGTCTCGACGGTTTAGGCCATGAGGTTCAAGAGTCATGGCCTCATCTATCAAATGCGACTCCCTGGCCTTACGAACTGAGTCACGTGAAGAATGAATTTTTTCTTGTGGGATTAGGTGCATGTCAGTATGAGAATGGTTAGAGGGAGAGAGAAAGTGTTCAGAAACAGTAGTGGGTTTAGATTTAATGTTAGTTTTGTCGACTGCACGTCTGTGTTCGTTAAATATGTCCTTGAGACGTCGCTTAGTTTCACCTATATATTGTAAATTACAACGGTTACATTGAACCCTCCTACTGATCGAGACCCTGCACTTAACACGTACGTAGACGCCATTAAACATGACATCCTTACAGTTAATCGTGATCACATCACCGACAACTTGACCAAAGATGAACGACAAGCATTACGCAACCTCAAGAAGCGACAAGACATAATAATCAAACCAGCTGACAAAGGCGCGGGAACGGTTGTTATGGACAAATCCTGGTACACAGACGAATGCAACCGGTAGTTAAATGACGCTAAATTCTACAGACAAATAGACGAGGACATTACTGACACTATTCAACAGCGTGTTGTGGTTTACATTAAACGTATATTTAACGACAGTTACATTGACGACAAGAATAAAAAGTAGCTAGTACAAACAAACGTGAAACGAGGACGTTTTTGCATACTACCTAAAATACATAAAATGGGAAATCCTGGACGCCCAATAGTTTCATCTACCAGCCACCCTACTGAACGCATCTCACAATTTGTTGACTACCACATTAACCCTCTCGTCTCTACCTTGGATTCACACATTAAACCTACCTAACAACGCTATTCTTGTAACTCTTGATGTGTCATCGCTTTACGCCAACATTCCACACAATTAAGGAATTGATGCATGCCGTCATTTTCTTGATACCCGCCCTAACAAACACATCCCCACAGAGAAACTATGTGATGTCTTACACATGATTCTCACCATGAATAATTTAACATTTAACCATTAGCATTATTTTCAAATCCATGGTACTGCTATGGGTACTAAAATGGCTCCTTCTTTTGGTAACCTTTTTCTTGGGATGTTCAAAACCAACGCTCTTACTAACGCCTCTTGGCAGCCTCACACATGGTGGAGATATATCAATGATATTTTCATGATCTGTACAGAAGATTCGGATCGTTTGAAACTATTCGTCGATTATCTCAATAACATTCATCCCACTATTAAGTTCACTAGCTCTCACTCACTTACTAAAGTTCCTTTTCTCGACGTCATAGTGTCTCTACAAAACGGTATAATTGAAACTGATCTATTTACTAAACCCATGGATAAACATCAGCACCTTCTCAGCTCATCATACCATCCTCACCACACTAAGAAAGCAATTCCGTTCACCTTAGCCCTTTCCTCTCCGCCGTACTGCTCTACAGACGCTAAGTTTAAACATCGCATTAATGAACTTAAAACATATCTCCTTGCTCGTGGCTATAATAATAATTTCTCAGAAGAACAGTTTCTACGCGCTGCTAATATTTCTCGTAGCGAAGCTCCTCTTCGCGCCTCGCGTGGGCGGAGCCCCATACCTAAGGAAATGTGGTAATCTACCCATCCAAGAAAATTTGGTAATCAAGTGACCGTGCACCGACCGACCGACCGCCCGCCCGCCCGACCGTCCGTCCGCACCAAGGCATACCGATTTAAAATAACTCAATCAACAGGTATAGCAACCCAAATGCAACTCAAGGTTTTATTTGGAAGGGAATCACATGGCCGCCTGGACTTTTAGAAAGAAAAAAACAACAACAAAGTCGTGTTTTTATGTTTACACTAACGTGGATAACAGAGAAAGAGCTAGAGCGAGTTATTGAAAATAAAGGAGACGAATTTCGTAGGAAGAATATGCAAATTTGTTTTTTGCTAACTGGAAGAAAAAGTGTGCTGGACGTGCAATTTGTTTATTTGCTAATTAGATCTATTAGTCTTAAAGCCATTTTCATTGCCGTCCCCGTTTAGCATTACACGATTAAATTCTTTGCTGTTTGCACGTATTATTAACTAGAGCTTCGCTTTTAGCCCTGGGTAAATCTATATATTATTTCTTGTACTAACGCGTTACAGATTAAACCTTAAGATTCTAACGATGTCGTACCATTTGTTGTCACATAAAACCCAGTACTTCCACGCATTTCTAATATCTTACGCAAACATTTTAACATCTTATACTCTTCTAACCGTTGCAAAGACGTCTTTAAGCAACCGTCTTTTGGTGCTTACAAACGTAGCTCTAATCTTCGTGACCTTTTAGTTAAACCACAATTACCCGTTATCTCCACCAATCATTTTCCTCCAGGCTGCTTCCGTTGTGGACAGAATTGTTGATTGATTGATTGAATGATTCACTTTTACTTGAATACGGTCATTTCATAAGTTAACATAACTTCTTTGCATGAAAGCCGTATAGAAACAGAAGTAAATACTGTACAACTACACTGAAAATATGTACAAATAATAAAATATAGTAAAATGTAGTCAACAGTTTGCCTGCCTATTAGCCAGTTTTCTTTTAAAGATAGCTTTAGATTTGGACGCTTTTATGTCATTTGGTAATGAATTCCACAGCATTCCTCCTCTGTTTTTGGAACGTGGTCCAGTACAATATTATATTCCGTATTTCTTAGCATAGACTTTTAAGGGTTGCTCTCACAGACATTCGAGAAAAGATCGCTTAAGTAACTAGGTACATTTCCATTCACTGCATCATACATTAACAGACTTAAGTGCCTTTGGCGCCTTGAGGCAAGCTCTTTCCAGTTTAGTTGTTTTCGTATTTGTGCTGAACGAAAGTCATGACCTTAAAACGTTATTATGCGTGCTGCACGATTTTGTAATTTCCGGATCCTAGTGGCAAGTCCCTGGTCTAAATTGTCCCAAACAACGTCGCAGTAGTCGAACACAGGCTGGATAAGAGATTTGTAAATAGTATTTAGAACATCTAAAGGTACATAATCACGTGCCTGTTTTAGACCACTGATGGATCGATTGACGTTTGAACAAAGTTTGTCAACATGCTCCTTCCATTTAAGATTTTCATTTAAGTGAATTCCTAAATATTTTGTTGTTTGGACTCGTTTAACATGATTGTTGCCAATCTAAATTAGAAAGTTTCTTCCTAAGTTAGATAATTTGAAGGTAGTTGTGAAGAACATATACTCCGTTTTAGTGACATTTAAGCTTAACTTATTTGCAAGAAGCCAGTCCCTAACG